TTTTTTGAGATGGAGTTTCACTCTGTCACCCAGGCTGGAGTGCAATGGCATAATCATAGCTTGTTGGAGCCTCGACATCCCAAGGCTCAGGTTATCCTCCTACCTACACCCCGAGTAGCTGGGACTACAGATGCCACCACACCTGGCTAATTTTTATAATTTTAGTAGAGTCAGGGTTTCACCATGTTGGCCAGACTGGTCTCCAACTCCTGGGGTCAAGTGATCCTCCTGCATCAGCTTCCCAAAGTGCTGGGATTACAGGCATGAGCCACCGTGCCTAGCTGCCTTATCTATTTATTTTATACAGGCATGAGCCACCGTGCCTAGCTGCCTTACCTATTTATTTTATTTTATTTTATTTTATTTTATTTTATTTTATTTTATTCTATTCTATTCTATTCTATTCTATTCTATTTCTGGTGGAGGAGGGGATTGAGTCTCACTCTGTCATCCAGGCTAATGTGCGGTGGCACAATCTCGGCTCACTGCAACCTCTGCCTCTTGGGTCCAAGTGATTCTCCTGCCTCAGCCTCCTGATAGCTGGGATTACAGTCACCCACCACCACACTCAGCTAATTTTTGTATTTTTAGGAGAGACGGGGTTTCACCGTGTTTGCCCAGCTGATCTCGAACGCCTGACCCTAGGTGATCCACCTGCCTTGGCCTCCCAAAGTGCTGGGATTACAGGCATGAGCCGCTGCATCCGGCTAGCTGCCTTATTTTTTAATACACATGTCGAAAGACCAGAGTATCCCACAGAATACATGGTTAACTCTTGGTTTTCTACGTTAATGAAGCACTAAGGATAAAGCAAAAAAATTGAAATAATTCATACTATATAATTTTATTATTTATTATAATGTTATTTTTTAAAACATGGGTTGAATTTTAATTCCAGGTCTCCCCATTGATCATATTTTTATCAGTTTCTCTTTAAGCATTAGGCAGCTTGCCTCCTGAACATGTAAAGCACCAGTTTATTCTAAGCTTTGGGTACTTCCTTGTCATTGCTTATTATTTTGCCTCAGTTTCAGTACAAGGCCAAAGATACAATTAAGTCGAAGAAAGAATCCTAAGTGTTTTTCTTCCAGTTCTCCTGGGGACAAAACCGTACTTGGAAGCAAAAATTAAATCTGACAATGTCAAGTTATAAGTTAGGTGCAAAAAAGAAGTAACAATTTCTCAGAGAAATTCAATACTATCAAGCCAGTTACAACTCTTTACAGTGGTTAATATATATCTGGCAATGGTCAGTGTCTGGAAATTTATATAATCACATTTTTCTTCTATTTCTATTCTGAAAGGTCTGTTGATGTCTGCCATCACAGTTATCATTCTAGTATTATATTTTGTCATTGACACCTTCTGGGTTCAGAAAAGACCATGGCTTGCTGAGTGTACACCAATTTATATACAGTACTTTGTGAAGTTCTTCATTATTGGAGTTACGGTTTTAGTGGTCGCGGTGCCAGAAGGTCTTCCACTTGCAGTTACTATCTCACTGGCTTATTCAGTCAAAGTAAGTAGAAAATAGTTAAGTAGATGTATTATGTTTAAAACGTTAGCTGGTATAGAAAATGCCCATCTAGTTACTCCTTTTTTGCTTTTGAAAGTGAGGACGTTCATAAATGTACACTATTTTCTTTAGAAATACTGTCATTGATGCCCTGTACCTCCCACAAGTTGAATATCTCTGTAAGAGACCTGTGCATTCCACGTAGGGCAATCTTGACACAATCTAAGCACAACTATGCTGAGCAAAGTTCTAGCCTGATTTTCGCTATGTGGTAGTTAAGTTGTCAAGTCACATCACCTCCTCTTTCCCATCTGTAAAATTAAGGTGAGCATGTTAGGCTCATGTTTCTAAAAATAAAAAAAAAATTAAATTATGATTTCCATGTGTAAAAACTTGCAGTTATTTCTCATGACAAAGTAAAATCCAAACTCTTTACCATGGGCTGCAGGGCCCTGCCAGTCTGGCCTTTACTTATGTCTAAGTGCTCATTCCCTGCTCCTCTGGCCCAACCTCACCAGCCTGCCTGATGATTTTCAGGCATCCCAACTGTGTTCTTACTTTGGGAGGAACTGCTTGTTCCTTCCTTTGAGTAACCTCTCTTTCTTTATTCAAGTCTCTTCAAGTGTCACCTTCCTCTGACCACTTGATTTACAGTAGCTCAGTCCTTCTTGTTTTCCAAGTAGAATGCTAAAAAATGAGCTTTAATGGCTTTGCTTACTGCTGTTTACCTTAAAGTAGTAATCCTTTTGAAGATTATTAATTTATTTTTATCAATTTTCTATCTTATGGAAAAGGTAGATTGGATTTTTTTTAAAAAAAGATGTAGCTTGGACAATTTTGGACTTTTTTTTCAAAATGATCTTGCAGGTAAAAAATTATAACCAAATGAAGAATGCTGCTTTTGTAAATTTTCAAATGTTAATTACTAGTTCTCCTTAAGTAACACTGCTGACAGTGAGCAATATAAATCAACTAGTTATAGTTTCAACCTTTGCACTCTTTATTATTAGACCTGTCTTGATAAGAATATTTTTTGCTTACTGTTTATTTTCTTTTCAGGCATTTAACAAGTTGGGTTTCAAAAATAAATTGGTAAATGTGATAAGATATAGTCATCTATTTGTCTTTTTTGATATTTTAAAGTAATTTGAAATATTTGTGGTAAAAATATTTTAGACACATTGAACAGTCATTTTATCAAACTCTGCTTCATTTTGAGTAGTCATTAATGATACTAATATTTCAATTGATTAGAAAGATACTGGCAAGATTGATTTGTATTTCTCTAACAGAAAATAAGAACAAGTTAACTACTGTTTTTTAAGCCTAATTTACTAGATGTTTATCTAGCTCTAACGTTACGAATTACTGTTCTTTTCACGGAGGTATATAGTCTATGGATTCTTTGTTAGTGTTTCACAAAACCGAACATGGTTTCTTTACTGCAGAACTTCATTCTTCTAATCTTTAATAAGTAAATCACAAGTAATTTAGGAAGAAACAACCGTTTTTCATGTATTTATTTTTTCAAGGAGCCAGGTTTTTTTTTGCAGCATCTTGCATATTAGTCATCACAGAAAACACTTTGTAAAATAACTCTATATAGGCCTAGCACGGTGGCTCCTGCCTATAATTCTGGCACTTTGAGAGGCCTAGGCGGTCAGATCATGAGGTCAGGAGTTGGAGACCAGCCTGGCCAATATGGTGAAACCCTGTCTCTACTAAAAAGGCAAAAATCAAACAGGCATGGTGGCGCGTACCTGTATTTCCAGCTACTTGGGAGGCTGAGGCAGAACCTGGGAGGTCCAGGTTGCAGTGAGCCAAGATTGTGCCACTGCACTCCACCCTGGGTGACAGAGCAAGACTCCATCTCAAAAAATAACTCCATATAGTTTTTAGCACATTTCACGTATATACTGAGAATTAATCATAAAGTGTTTTAACTTAAATGCCCTATGGGACTACTGTGAAAACTCCTGGTGTTTTAGAAATGATCTTTTCTAGTGTAGATGAGAGAAGGAAGTGAGACACAGTTTGATCCTAAGGATGAAAATACCAAGTCTGTCAGCATATAGAATAGATAAAAAATGACTCGTTTTAGTTTTGATATGTTGACTTTATCAGTTAATAATTGAAAAAATCAAGCAACTACATACTCATGAGCTCTTTATTTTATCTGATAAAAGCTATTTTTTCCTTGGCACTGATGTAAGAATCTTTTGTTTTCTACTTCATAAGGAGACTTAATCCTTTAATATACTCTTATACTACTATAAGTACTGCTGTACTTAACAGTACAGATTGTCATTGCTCTTGTAATGTGAGGCCATTTTGCAAAAATCGTTGGAGACATATATTCAGTGTTGTTTGCGTATGGATGCAGGTACCTGAATTGATTTACTAGGTTATGTTATGCAGCAATAAAATGATTAAAACCCCAGAAAGCTTTGATACTGTGTTTAACTTATTTTAATAGGTCAAATATGCTAAAAAAAATTTTTTTAGTATTACGTCAGTACTCTACACATTGTATTTATATAAAGCTGGGAGTTTCAGTTCTAATTTTAAAACAATTTATAATCATGTTAATGTAATGAGGTGATTGGTTTTATATGGAGCTTAACTAGTTTTTTTTTTCATTTTGTTTTTGTCACTGTAGAAAATGATGAAAGATAATAACTTAGTAAGGCATCTGGATGCTTGTGAAACTATGGGAAATGCTACAGCCATTTGTTCAGATAAAACAGGAACTTTGACAATGAACAGAATGACAGTTGTTCAAGCTTACATAAATGAAAAACATTATAAGAAGGTTCCTGAACCAGAAGCTATTCCACCAAATATTTTGTCCTATCTTGTAACAGGAATTTCTGTGAATTGTGCTTATACATCAAAAATATTGGTAAGGTTTTTTAAATAATTTATATATGTGAAAATTAATTTTTAAATCTGTAATGATTAGACTGTAAGTCTTCAGAACCACTGTTACTGTATATAAACTGAATTGTGTTGTGTTTAAAAGGTATATATTTATGTAACAGTTTTTAAATTTGTTATGAGTAATGTCTGCTGATCAACATAAACATTGTTTACTTAGTTTTTCTCCTATATTTTGAATTCCTGTGTTCAGAAACTCTCTGCTCTTATAACTAGAGCATGTATTTAATTTTAAATTCTTGTTAAGTTCATTTTTGAGAAAGATCAAGCTGTTTTACTGTAGGAGGTCAGCTCTCAACTTGAGAGAATATTTTGAAGCCAGAGTTCAACTTAAAATAACATGTTTTATATATGCTTGCTATGTGCTCTGGTTTTTCAGTAGTTCCTACCTATATGGTGGTCCTTAGGCTTTTTTAGAATTAATGCAGTAAAGTAATTCTAGAATTGTGCCACCATATAATAGAATATTTTCAACTTCACAAGCTTTTTAAAAATCTTATTTATAACAGAAAGTGTTATGTTTGACTTAATATTTTCTAGTGGTTTATGGATGAAAATCATTAACAAAAATCATATTGCAAGCTGTTCATTAGTGAAAACATACATGAATTGGATGATTGCATTGGAAAGTTATGGGATACTGGTTCTAGATATACCTTTGTCTTTTAGTAGCTGAAAATCTGAGCTCCCTTCTTTTAATTAGTGAGTAAAGATGATCACATCTGTCCTTGATACCATTGTGATGATTATATAAGGTGGTGTTTCTGAAGGCACTGTGAAGGAAATACAGCTTTCCACTACATTTAAGAGAACAGTATTTTAATGCATGTACTTTTAAGCCGTAAAAATTGGTAAAGTAGATTTAATTTTGAATGATTTAGTATAAAAGTTCAGTGAAAACAGGAAAAGGGAGTTAAAATTAAGTTCCACTCTGTCTCAGGAACCAACTACAAACTTTATACATCTCATACATCATTTAATTTTGGGGTCATAAGTGCTTCTGTTTTACAGGTGCTGAAGCCAAGGACCACAGCAGTTGGGTAATTGTCAACTTTCACGTAGCTAGTAACTAGCAGGACTGAGATGAGAATCCATGTCATTCTCACCCCAGGCTCCTTTCTACCTTACTTTTCTATGTCGTTCTTTAAAATGCTGATATTAGACAATTGCTTGTAATTTTATTTTAGAATGTTGCATTCTGTTTTACATTATAAATTTTAAATGTTCATAGAGAAACGTGATGATACTAGCTACTAAACCTTTTTCTCTTGTAGCCACCAGAGAAAGAGGGTGGATTACCTCGTCATGTTGGTAATAAAACTGAATGTGCCTTGTTGGGACTTCTTTTGGATTTAAAACGGGATTATCAGGATGTTAGAAATGAAATACCAGAAGAAGCACTGTACAAAGTCTACACTTTCAATTCTGTTAGGAAGTCCATGAGTACTGTCCTGAAAAATTCAGATGGAAGTTACCGAATATTCAGCAAGGGTGCATCTGAGATAATTCTGAAAAAGTAAGAGTAAAATGCTTAGATGAATAAATTGCTAACTGTAGTTGCTTTATGGAATACCTCCTGTGTTGTTGTTGTTGTTATCTTCTTTTTGTGAACATCAGGCATTTGATAGGACCTCAGAGCTTGTTAGCATATTTTATGGTATCCAGATTATTTGCCACTGATATTCTGCCATTTTCACACTCTAGCTTCTCTTATTTCTTAGTATTTTGCTATAGGGTAAATAAGCCCATTGCATTCAATCTGGTATGTTTAATGAAGTATACTTTAATATTTATTTTTAGAAATTGATTTCCTTGTTATTTAATACATAGAATCTTGAAAACCCTCCTGGGAAGAAACTCAAGTTTGTATCTTTCTTTTCTTTTTTTTTTTTTTTTTTTTAAGATGGAGTTTTACTGTGTCGCCCAGGCCAGAGTGCAGTGGTGCGATGTCAGCTGACTGCAACCTACACCCCCAGGTTCAAGGGATTCTCCTGCCTCAGCCTCCCAGGTAGCTGGGATTACAGGCACCTGCCACCACACCTGGCTAATTTTTGTATTTTTAGTAGAGTCAGGGTTTCACCATGTTGGCCAGGCTGATCTTGAACTCCTGACCTCAACTAATCTACCCATGTTGGCCTCCCAAATTGCTGGGATTACAAGTGTGAGTCACCACACCTGGCCTCAAGTTTAGATCTTCAGTGCTGCATTGTGATTACTAGACTCTAAATGTGATAAGAGAAGTATGGAGTAATTTTTAGACTAGCAAGGAACAAAAGCTAGATCTTTATAACAAAGTGAGATTTATCATATTTATGCTACTGCAGTGTCATATTTAAATTATCTCCTGTCATTTTGAATGCTAATTTTTCTTACTGTCCTTTTACAGACCATTAGCTTTAATTTTGCTGTTACATGTTCACATATAGTTCCCCTGATGTTTATTTGTTATTAAAGGTGGTGAAATTATTTTGGTTTCTTTAATTCCAGTAAAGAAGTAGAGAAATGGTTTAAAAAAAAAAAAAAAATATATATATATATACACACACACACACACACACACACACACACACACACACACGCACACACAGGCTAAGTACAATTTGAAAAAATTGGAACTCATTTGAATAATATTTAACATATTGAAGTAAATATTTAAAATATTTATACTTTTAATTTGCTTACATGTGGATTATTAGCTGGTATTATCTTAACACTTTAAAATTAGTTTAAGAGATAAATATATAAACAAATAACTGTGAAAGCAGCATATAGTAAATCAGTACAAAGTTTTTGGATGAGAGAGCACACCATAGGGATGTGGCATTTAAGATAGGTTTTGGTATGAAATGAGAACTTTGAGGTGAGGGAAGCCACAGCAGAGGAAAGGAGATGGGGTTGTGCAGGTCGTATTGGGGAGAGGAATATCTGGTTGTATAGTTTAGTTGAGTAGTGGTGGGCTTTTGTGGCACACAGGCCATATAGTGCTTTCTTCTTGCCACAATACACTCAGTTATCTGATTTCATTGTAAAAGGTTAGAAATCTGTTTCATCCCTGGCTTGATGCTTGGTAGATAAATGGGATAGGAGAGATTTTTTAATCAAAACTGATCAAGCATTGACTCTTCCTCTGCAGCTAACTAGCTTTGGGTTATGGGGCAGATTCTTCCCTCACTTCCATTGTCCTCCACTGAAAAAAGGGTGCTAACCACCAACTCTGTGGCACTTAAATGAAATAATGCATACCACATGTCTAGCATGAAGCCTAATAGATAGTAAACATACAGCAAGTGTTCCCACAGTAATATTTGCATTTTGTTATAAATGTTGGGCTGAGCAGTTAAAATTCAAGTAAGCCAGATAACACAAATGAAGTATTTTTTTCTTCAGGTGATAGAATCATCAAAGCTGTGATTAAGGATAATTCTTGCATCAGGGAACAAGGTGGGGGGAAAAAACAAAAAATCAACTAGAGACGGATACCAGTTTAAAGGCTATTACTATTACAGAAGCTGTAGCTTTGTAGCTTGAAGTAAGAACCAAAAGAAAATAGTAGCAGGAGGAATAAAAAGGAGTGAACACATTGAGGAGACTGCTCAGAGGAGAAATGTGTAGGACTTAGGAGCTAATAGTAGAAAGATGATCAGGAAAAATAAGTATTAAGGTGAAATTTTAGACTTATATCAAAACGATTAGGGTAGTGTTGATGCCCATTACATGGGTAGTAAAGAGGCATCTTCCAGTCTTTCATCCATTAAGGTTTAGGTACTGATAAAATGTCTGGGTGGAATTTGTCAGCAATGATAGGAAGCTTCAAAAAACAAAACAGCAGATGTAGATATTGGAATTATCTCCCTAGAAGCAGGAAGAGATGGCATCATCAAGGGAGAGGAGTATAGAGAGTCATTATGAAAAACAAACTTTAAATAGGTATATAGTATGATTTTTATTCATTACATAATGAAAAAGGTAATGTCACTGAAAATAAGAACTATTTTGGCATTAACTCTCATTCTGATAGAATGCTTATTTTAACAATAAGGTTTTTTTCTTCCATGATAATGAAACAACATCTCAGGTAAGGGGTTGACTACACTTGGCTTTCTACTTAAAAAAAAAAAAAAAAGTTTGTGATTTTCGTGTTATTTAAAACTAATGTCTGATTCTGTACCAAAATGGTGAGGTATATAGTTTATTCTCCTTTGCCACCCGGGGATTCTTTGTGAAAATTTGAAAGCACTGCATTTCCAAAAGGGAAGGTTTAGAGAAGTTCTAGAGTAACTGATAAATGGAGAACTATCAAATGAGAACCATACATATTGGAACTGTTTTGTAAAGGGGAGGGTGAAACATGCATTTAAGTCTCTAGAAGTGCATTACATGTAATTCTCTGAATTCCAGATATCAGATCCCATGATTTCTAGGCCTGCCAGTTCACTTAAATGGCATTAACCATTATTTTTGTTAATTATTGATGTTTGGATTCAACATTTCCTTTTAGGTGTTTCAAAATCTTGAGTGCTAATGGTGAGGCAAAAGTGTTCAGACCAAGGGACCGTGATGATATTGTAAAAACTGTGATTGAACCGATGGCATCAGAAGGCTTGAGAACCATATGTCTTGCATTCAGAGATTTTCCAGCAGGAGAACCAGAACCAGAGTGGGATAATGAAAATGATATTGTCACCGGCCTTACATGCATTGCTGTTGTGGGGATTGAAGATCCTGTGAGACCTGAGGTGGTGAAACATTCTGTGTTCTGCATGTGCAGAATCTCATAACTATAGAGGACCTAGGCCTTAACTGTAACCAGTTTTCTAGTACAATTATTGGTGTTTGTAATTTTTTTTTTTCTGTGTGAACCCAGGATAAGTGAAATAGTAGTACCTACAGTGCATATACTACTGTATACCTTTTATGGTTTTTAAAGACAGCCTCTCTTTGGGATCCTATGTGTTTATAGCACTATAACCTAGCATAGTGCCTTGAACTGGGTAGATTTTTCAATTGTTATATATCTTAATAGGTGCCATTAAGTTACTTGTTTTCACAGTCTCTAGACTACCATTATCTAGTAGAGTTTTCTGTGGTGATAGAAATGTTCTGTATATTGTTCAGTATAGTAGCCACTAGTCATGTGTGACTACTGACTTCTAGTTTTCAGTGGCTAGTGCAACTAAAAGACAGAATTTTGTTTATTTAATTTAATTCAAATTAAAATGTCTTGCTAGTAGTTGTCATATTGGATGGCGTGCAGCTCTAGACTGATTTCCTTCTTTAAATTATTTTTTTGCTATTTGGTTTTGCACTTTTTTAAAGTTTGTTGAACAACTGCGTGCCAGGCACTATCCTAAGGTACTAGAAACATAAAGAGTTTTGAGATCTGGTCCCTGGCCTCAAAGAAGTTACTATCTTATGTGGGATGAACCAAACACATGCTAATTGCAACCCAGAATATTAGTACCTTGCTGGGTATAGACAGAGGATGTTATATGAGCAGAGAGCTTGAGTTCCCAACCTAGTCTAATGTAATAGCATTTTTTTAAACTGAGTTCTCACTGTGTGCCATATACTTAAGCCATGTGCTTTACCTGTAATTTTTTAATGTCTGCCTTTATGAGGTATTCATACTGTTATTCTTAATTGGCAGATTTTTAAAGATTGAGAATGTATAGTGCTTTATACAATAGACCTAGTATGTTAAAATACCAGCTTTGTCTAAAACACGTGCTTAAAAGACTATATGCTGTATTAACCACCGGAGGGGTCATGTAAGACTTCCAAGAGGTTAATTACCTTATCTCATTCTTAAAGAAGGAAGTATTAGCTAGACCAAGAAAGAGAGTGAGCAGGTAAGTATATTTTGAGCAAAGAAGCAACATAAACTAAAGCACTAACAGAAAACCACTTTTGTACAGTGACTTTATCAGCTAATGGATTCAAAACCTAATGTGTAGCACTCTTCTAGGAATTGGAAATACTACAGTGACCAGAACAGGCTTGAGATTTATATTCTAAAGGAAGAAGTCAGCTAAGTAGGTAGAATGATAAGATACATGGACACTGTGTCAAGTGAAAATGAATTCTGGGAGGATAAGACTTGGGCCCTGTTCTCATAGGCCTTATATTCTGCCTGGTGTATTGGGGGGATGATATTCAATAAGACAGTTACAAGTGCAAAAGGTTACATAAGATATGCATAGTATGGTGAAATAAAGTAATGGAGGGAGACTGCATTAAGAATTCCTGAGGTTGTGGCATTTGAAATGCAAACTGATGGTTCACAGTGGGCCTGCCATGTAAATAGCTGCAAGCACAGCATTTCAAGCAAAACGAGAAATGCAGAGTGAAAGTGAGAAAAGTATTTACCTATTTCAAAGGTGGAAAAGAGGCCAGTGTGGCTATAAGTGTAAAGAAGAAAGGGGAGACATGATCTCTGGCCTTACTGGGCTGTGAAGGCTCTGAATTTTATTCTGAGATTCAGGCTGGGAAGTGACATGATTTATGTTGTTAAAATACTATTTTGGGTACTGTGTAAGACAGGGATTAGAGATAAGGAAGAGTAGAAGCAGGGAAGCTAATGAGATTATTGAGTGATCCCAGGCAAGAGATGATCATGGGTTGGCCTGCAGTTGTGGCATAGAAGATGGAAAGAATGGGATGATTTGAAAGTAAGTGGAGATAGAACCAACAGGAAATAATACGTTGGGTTTGGATATGCTGTTTTTGACATTGTTGAGGTGTCTGAGACATACAGATGTATGACAAGCATTTGTACCTCAGAGCCTGGAAGTGAACTAGTCAGAAGAAATCACTGATGAAACTAATGATCTTTTAGAGAAAGTGTGTAGCTAGGAAAGAAGGCTTTTAAGATGAAGATGTTGCTACAATTAGAAGTCTTATAAAGGAGATGGAATCAGTCTCTAACTCATAAAACTTGGTGGCTTATAGAGAGTTACCAATGTAATACGAGAATCAGAAGGAGCAGCCTGTTGAGAGATCAAGATAAATTTGGTTTGGGGTTTTGTAATTTCAAATGCTTAAAAAATAGCCAGGTGGATAATGTTTGTCATTTGGTCATAGGAGAATCATTCAAAGGTGTTTTTTTGTTTTGTTTTGTCTTGGTTTTTTTTGTTGTTGTTGTTTTGTTTTTTAAGGAAGCAGTCTTTCTGTGTTGCCCAGGCTGTAGTGCAGTGGCTTTTCACAGGCAGGAGATCATGGTACATTGCAACCTCAAACTCCTGGCCTCAAGTGTCCTCCCACCTCAGCCTCCTGAATAGCTAGAATTACAGGCAGTGCACCACTGTGCCTGGCTTTTCAAAGCTTTATACATTGACTTATGGTTTAAACTTTAACATTAAATCGGAATATCTGCAACTTTCATTCTTTGGAAGACAAAGCAGTCTATTATCATGCTCTTGGCATTGCAGTTGATGGAGAGTTTTATCTTTTTTTAAGCATGTAAATGGCACTTGTTTTTCAGTATCACAAAATGAGATGAGTATTTATATACTAAATTAAGACGATGTAATATAAAACAGCTTTCTCTGAGTTTCTCTATTTTGTACAATGCGGTTCTTGTGGAGGGATTCTTATATAATTAGATGTCTAGAACAAATCCAGTTTTTGTTGCATATGTATAAGTACTTGGCTTTGCTTTAGTTTCTTACATGTAAAAGAGATAGTTTGTGAATTTTAAGCTGGAAGTATCTGATGATTAGGCAGTTAATAATGTTAGTGTGCCTTTCTTATGTATTATTTGCCACATAGTTTTCACCTGAGACCAGTTTCTCCCTTTTTTCATTGTATCCAGATGATCCTGGGATACTACCTAATCAAGGACTGCTTAGATATAAAAATTTAGATTGTATCTCAAATGAGATAACAGGAGGTATATACATTTATAAAACACAAGTATTTTTAGTGTCAAATACTGATTTTTTGAAAAAATAATACAAGCAAATTCTATCCTTTTGCTCATCACTCTGGCATTAGGACCTAAGCACAGTGCTTGGCATTCAGTAAATATTAGTTTGAGTAAGTGCATGTGATGTCTGTCTCCAATGATTTGAATAACTAAGAGTTGACTGGGTGGAGGGAAATAACTTTTATAATGTAAATCTTAAAACTTATAAATATGTATGTAAGTTGCAATTAATTACATACATGTTTTAAAACACGGTACCCTGGGCCAAGCATGTTGGCTCACACCTGTAATCCCAGCACTTTGGGAGGCCAAGGCAGACAGATCACCTGAGCTCAAGAGTTTAAGACCAGCCTGGGCAACATGGTGAAGCCCAGTCTCTACCAAAAATACAAAAAATTAGCTGGACGTGGTTGTGTGTACCTGTGGTCCCAGCTACTCAGGAGGCTCAGGTGGGAGGATCACTTGAGCCTGGGAAGTGGAGGTTGCAGTGAATCAAGATTCCACCACTGCACTTTATTTTGGGTGACAGAGTAAGACCCATCTTAAAAAAAAAAAAGTTACCTTGCCTGGAATGTGCACCCCTTAGAAAATGTCCCCTCGCTTTTATCCCAAAGATAATTAATTCAGCAGTTCAATAAATACTAAGCTCCAGTTACATGCCTGGCGCTTATTTGTTAAATAAACAAAAGGCATACTGGGTATTAGTGATGCAAAGATAAGGTAAAAGTCCTACCTTCAAGAAGCTCATTGAGGATTCAGGTAAACAATAATTATAGTATGACTTAATGACCTGTAATAGAGGTATGTATAAGATGAAGGTGTACTTTTGTCTAGGTAGGCCACGAAAGCGCCAGATAAGTTAGATTTACACCTGATTTAGGATAGACTTCACAAATAGGTAGGCTGCAGTCCAAAGTTAGCCTTCAGTCAAGTTATCTTGTGGAGGTGGGGGGGTCAGAAACATTAAGTATGAGGAAATTACACACAAATCTGGGTTTCTTCTTTCGTTTCCAATTACAGATTCTGTTAACATTGGGCTCTCATTGCATCATGGCAGAAATACGCTAGAGCTAAAGAGCTCTTTCATTAAACATTTGTCTCAGGGGTTTGTCATTTTCAGCATATTTTCTTCATGTGTATTACCTGCATGATCCTGTAGGCGTTTGAATTTGCAACCTCTGCTCCAGTAGGCTCAGTGTGGATTTTCTAGTTATAGAAAATTGAGAAAAGATTTTCTAGGTAAAAGGAGCTATAGTGGCAGAGGCACAAACAGTGATTCTTTTATACTGAGAACTTTGTGTTTTGTGTATAACTGCTGAGGAATCATCATATATTTTAAGAAAGTATGTTTCTTTTAGAAAAAGCTCTGCCATCAAGTATATCAGATGTTTTAAAGGAGGAACAAACTTAAAGACAGGGTACCAGTTAAAAAGCCATTGCAGTAAGTTGGGCAACAAGCAGTAGAGACATGATGCAGGGCAAGTTTGAGGTAGGATCCATGGGATTTACTAGCTTCTAAGGATGTAGGTTAAGGGAGATGAAAGAGGAGGTTCAGGTGACTGTACGTTTCTGCTAGATGGGAAAAGGAAACATTTCGCTTTTTGGGTGGAAATAGGTAAAGGAAACATGATACCCACTTTTCAGGTGGAATTATTAACCCTCTTACAGTGAGATAGGGGCAGGATGCAGATTTGAGAGTCATTTAGAATATGATGGAATTAGATGGAAATTTAAAGTATGAGAGTAGGTAAAGTAACCCTTAAAAGATATGGATTGTGAGCCACTCTTAACCCTAAACAAAAGAATACCAACATTTTACTCTGGTGTCATCTGGGTGGTAAAACCAGAAAGTTAGAAAGCCAACCAGAAAAGAATTGCCTAATGGTTGTTAGGGGGAAAGGGTGCTTTAAAAAGCCTTCTGTAAATAAATACTGCAAGCAAATTAGTAGATAATAATTGAAAACGAAGCCTGAGCTAAGCCTGGCAGTGGAATTGGAAAGAGATTATTGAAAATAGTTCAGGAAGTACTGAGTATTGGAAATGAAATCAATCAGTATCATTAAGTCATTGTAGCATTGTCATCATTTGGGGGACTATAAAATAATACAGTGTGTGCAGTGAAATATTTTTTCCTCTAGAAATACCAATTTAATTTTGTAATATATTTTTTTCTATGTAAACCAGGTACCAGATGCAATTAAAAAGTGTCAGAGGGCTGGAATTACTGTGCGGATGGTCACTGGTGATAATATTAATACTGCTCGGGCCATTGCTACCAAATGTGGTATTTTACATCCTGGGGAAGATTTTCTGTGCCTAGAAGGTAAAGATTTTAACAGAAGAATACGAAATGAAAAAGGAGAGGTAAAGATTTATTTATTTATTTATTTTTAGTTGACAGGTTTTTAATATATTAGGAATTTAATTCAACAAATGCATATTGAATATGCACTATGTTAGGCCCCATGCATGAAATTAATAACCTTTAGGAAGCAAAATACTAGTCTAAGGGATAAAAGAGAAATAATAAAGAAATTGGTCCTAAAGGAAGTGAGCACGTCTTGCTGTATGAATGCTGTATGAAGGTGGAGGCAGTGACTCTAGGCCAATTTTAGAAGTTCAGTATGTGTAAGGGAGTAATGGGAGATGGATTGGAAGGGCTGATCCAGAGAATATTTTAGGGGACCCCAAACTCTCTGAGCAACTTAGGCTAAATTAAGGAAGTTCTATTTTCATAAGGCAGTAGGGAGATTTTTTTAATTTGGTCTTATGTATAAAACAGTGGCTTTTAAAGTTGAGTATGCATTAAAGTCACCTAGAGAGAAATTATTAAAACGTAGATTGCTGGGCCTGCCCCAGAGTACTTGCTAAGATAGATCTGGTTCCATGCCCAAGAATTCACATTTCTAACAAATTCCCAGGAGTTTCTGATAGTATTGTTCTGTGGACCATACTTGAATAGCTACTGATAAATATGCCAGATAGCTAATTCGGATTTAGGAAACTAGTTTTGGGCATATTTTAACTTTGATAAACATTTATAGATTGAGCAAGAGAGGATAGACAAGATTTGGCCAAAGCTTCGAGTACTTGCAAGATCATCTCCTACTGATAAGCATACACTGGTTAAAGGTAAGTAGATTTTTCAGTTATTTCACAATTTCTTAATACAGAAATGTGTTCTGCTTCCTAAACTAGTAATAGATAATGAATATTAGATTGAGTCATGGATAGCATCTGTTTTAATAAAATCTAAGTACATTTCCTTTGATATCTTAGGTAAATTGTGTTTATCTTAAGTGATTAAAACAGGATATTGCTCTGAATATACCCATAGTTTCTGAAGTAGGTTCTCCAACATCTAAGCAGCTTCCATTTCTCTGTTTGTTTATTTATTTTTAACCTTGAGTCTATAAAACCAACTAATCAGAATATTCTTCAGAATCATCTTATTAAAGACTAATATTTTTATAACACAAATATTTACTTGTATTTAAGGTATAATTGACAGCACTGTCTCAGACCAACGCCAGGTTGTAGCTGTAACTGGTGATGGTACAAATGATGGCCCAGCACTAAAGAAAGCAGATGTTGGATTTGCAATGGTAAGAATTTACTCATTCAGATATCCAAATGTAATTTCCTGGCTGGTTTGTTTGTTTGTTGACTGAATTACTATGGATTTTAAACACTGTCCCTCAAGATTAGTTTGAGGGATAATTAATAAGCCTAAATTAGTTTATAAGTCTGATTAGTTTATGTGTTAGCTTTATTTGATGCCATGAAATCTGACTAGATTATTTCTTTTGAACAATTTAATAATATTGTATGTTGACTTCGTAGTCTGTTAAATTTTTTAATGTCTGTCATCTTATCTGAACCTTTTAACAATCCTTTTAAGCAAGACACAGGCTTAGAACAGTTGTGTATTTAAAAATGTAATTGAGACTTCTCTGTTCGTCACTCCATTACTCTTCAGTTATTTAAAAAGTAATTGAGCTGGGCGCGGTGGCTCACACCTATAATCCCAGCACTTTGGGAGGCGAGGCAGGTGGATCATGAGGTCAAGAGATCAAGACCTTCCGGGTCAACATGGTGAAACCCCGTCTCTACTAAAATACAAAAATTAGCTGGGCATGGTGGCGCACTCCTGTAGTCCCAGCTACTCAGGAGGCTGAGGCAGGAGAATTGCTTGAACCCAGGAGGCGGAGGTTGCGGTGAGCCGAGATTGTGCCATTGCACTCCAGCCTGGGTAACGAGCAAAACTCCACCTCAAAAAAAAAGTGATTGAATATCATCATTTTATAGTCTTTTTTGATTAAAAAAGCCTACCTACTTGTTTCCCCTAAAGTCCTCAATTCAAGTATTTTATTTTCTTCTAGTTTTATTTTTGGAAAATACTGGTTCATAATCACAATTCTCAAATCCAGAACTATCAGGAAACTGAAATTCTTAACCTAAATTTTGCAGCAGACTCATTTGGTTGCAAAATTTGTTCTGAACTGATGTGAGGCTATTTGTCCTACTTAGTGTGAATATTCATAACCATTGTGGAGATTTGAATGTGATATTTATGGGGTGCTAAGCTCTTTGGGAAAATTGAGGTATAAGGTTATATGTATCATTATCTTTCCAAACTGTTAGAGACTGAATTCTGAATCATAATCTGGCCCTAAGTTTTTCAGATGAGAGATTGTTTTTGTGTACAAATGTTTATTGCATAATTTGTCACCCTGATATTTTGCCGCTAAAATAGAAATTTAGAAGATCCACCATGGTGGCAGCCTTTCAACAGGAGTGAAAGAGATAGGGAAAGGAAATTATAGGTAAATTTCCCTCAATTAAAAGTAATGAATCCAAAGACCCCCACCCTACCCCATCCAAATTTAAATGGTTGGCAGCTGCATTGGTAGGCGCTTCTGAAGTCCCGTAAAGCATAGCTGAAGAGGTATATTGAGTAATTAAGTGCTCTTCCTTTTGCTCTAGGGAAACAGGCTCATTCTCTTTAGGAACAGAGGATCACTCACTGCTACTCTTGCAGGATTCTTATTGCTATTTACAGTCTTGACAGCTGACCAGAAAAAGTTATGTAAAATGCATTTTAAAATTAAAAAAAGCATTCTTCCCAAAACTTGAATTAAGACAGATAAAATGGGCTTTAAATAAATGCAAGTAAATATAATAATGCAAACAAAAACAGTACAATGGCTGGTTGGTTTGTGTGTGTTTTTTTTTTTTTCAAGCTCTTGACGGTTTTAGGCTCAATTGTACAAATTTGTTTTTGAATGATAACATCACAAAAACAGTCTGGCCATGGTGGCTCATGCTGTAATACCAGCACTTTGGGAGGCTGAGGTGGATGGGTCACATGAGGTCAGGAGTTCAAGAACGGCCTGGCCAACATGGCAAAACCCCCATCTCTACTAAAAAAAAAAGAAGATACAAAAATTAGCTGGGTGTGGTGGCGCACACACCTGTAATCCCAGCCACTCGGGAGGCTGAGGCATGAGAATCACTTGAACCCAGGAGGCACAGGCTACAGTGAGCCAAGATAGCACCACTGCACTCCAGCCTAGGTGACAGAGCGAGACTCTGTCTCAAATAAATAAATAAATAAATAACATTAGTTCAAAAACATAGAGAAACTGTAAGTGCTTAGTGCCTTGGACTTGTAACTACTCTTATTTAAGCTTGAATTTAGTTTTGTATTTGTTCAGATAAAACTTAAAGACAGGGCCGGGCGCGGTGGCTCAAGCCTGTAATCCCAGCACTTTGGGAGGCCGAGGCGGGTGGATCACGAGGTCAAGAGATCGAGACCATCCTGGTCAGCATGGTGAAACCCCGTCTCTACTAAAAATACAAAAAATTAGCTGGGCATGGTGGCG